TAATTGTCATATAGTGCTTAAAAAACATACATGTAAAATGAATGTTTGAAAATTGACAATGTTAAGCGCAGAAGAGAGTGAGTCTGAGACAATGTCATGTATGTAGCTAGAAGGGTCAGAAAACTGTGACCCTGTAAAATGTTCAGTAACAGTTACATCTTTCCTCTGTGACATAATATTGACAATCAGTTAAACTAGAATAATGAACTACATTGATATAGCCCAGAAATATTTTCAGAAATGGAAAAGTTACTGTTCAACAGAAATGTACAGTATAAACTCAACATTATAGTCAAAGCTAATGTACTATATCAACATAACTAACTGTTTTGTTATAATTCTATAATAAATTATAGTTGTCCATTGTTTTACTAATCATCCTTATCTGAACTACTAGCTGATGGCTTAATATTGTTCAATGTGTTAAAGCAATTGGATGGAAAGTATTGATGAAAACCATGCCTGTCTGGATAAACAGGCATTGAAGGGTGGGAAAAATTACCATGTACAGCTGGTGGCACATTTGCCTGTGGGGTTTCATACATTTTCTTCATTAAGTCGAAGCAACAGGTGATTGCATTTCCCACATTTTCCATCGTCTTTGTCATTTTACTTGTGTTACTTATAAATTGCTGGTCCACATTGTCAGACTTCTCCATCATTTTCCTCTTTAGGGCTAGATCTTCCCTGGCAAGATGAAGATGCTGTTTGTCAACCGAGATCTTTGAGCTCATCCTTTTCTCTTTCTCATTAGTAAGATATTTAGCAACCTTTTCCCTTCTGTTAGTTGGATTTTGGGATTTGGGTGTTCCATGTGTGTCCTCTTCCGCTGATATGCCAAACAGCGCTTCCATCTCATCATCACTGTTGTTGTATAAAGGTAACTCTGACTTGTCTTTTTCACTGGATTTGTCGTTCTTTTCTTGGGCTGAACTTGAATCAATTCCACCTGAATTTATTAACATAAATGTTTAACCCATTTAAAGACAGTCCTCTACCATTGACATGTAGAATTGTATGGTGTTCAATAGACAGAGTAAATACTGAATTGGGTGCATTGCCAAATATTTGGTTGATCTGCAACTATACCTTATACAATAATACACATATTCATAAAAGTTTGGCTGGGTGACTGCTTGTTCACAGTACTATTGAATTATAAAGCAAGGTTGTATATTAAAATTACAACTTATAAAACTCCTGCTTTCCATAGCACTGTGAACAGGTTGTCACCTGGCCAACTTATATTAAACTATTTATAAACCCCTCTTTGTATACACATATTTAATACTCTTATTAATTAAAGCCCAAATTATTATTAATTTATACAATGTACCTTATTTATTATAGAATTAATCATGAATATTATCGAATAGTCTGTGATAAAAAGCAGAAAAAATGTCGTAAATTTAATTAACTGTACGTACCTTCGATACTTTTTGTTGAAGGGGCCCCTGCCCATATGTCATGGCATAAATCATAATATGTCATCACAACTCTACCGCCCCCGCTCCGTTTCCCGCTGTCGATTGCTTTCTTAAAATTACCCCGAATTGTCTTCAGCTTTGCCGCAATTCGTTCTTTCATTATAGGCCGTTAGCTGTGGCATGAAAACGTTCAGTTCCGTCGCCCCCATCGCGGTGCTAAAATATTTTAACGGGAATTAGGAGATTAAACTATGCTGATTTTAAATATCTTTGTTCCCACGCGCCAAAACCCGCTGTTTTTTCACAATGTAAGGCCAAAGTTTGATATTTTCATCCGCTAACCGCCATCCTGAATTCCGCGGTATGTTTGATCTTTCAACATTATTACTTGAAGTATTGAAAGTAACGTGGGCTCATAAACAACTCAAATTCATAAATATGGATGAAGTACCTAGCATAACGCTTTCTGCGCGGCAATGTTTTATACATTTTGAAGGTAAATTTGGCGAATTGTGTCATTTAACACATCATACAAATTAATACAACTTCTAAAATCTTAAAATATTATGAAAATTTGGTTGATTTCAATGATTTGGATGAAAAAGAGACTCAACTCGCGACAAATGTTTCGTAGCGTGTCAAACATTGGTCACTTATATTTTTTTATATTAGACTACAGTGTACAATTTGTAGCGGATTATTTTGCCACTGACATGAATAACTGTTCAAAACTTTGTATTAGATAAATTGTAATAAGAATTTGTACAATCACTCGAAGATACCAATACGATTAAATACACATAATTTGTAGGTTGCTTATTTCTCAATGGCCTGGTGATGTTAGTTCTTTATACTTCCTCACCACTCTAGTTCACCACTCGCACACAGTGAATGAGAAATCTTGATTATATATTCTTATCAAGTCATCCTTGTAACACTGCTGGACCCAGTTTTACACACAGACATATCAGTGGTTTTACCCCCTATGACGAAAACACCATTCACCAAACGGCAATATTTTATTCATTTTGAAGGTAAATCTGGCGATTTGTGTAAGTTAACACCTCATACAATTGCTAAAATTAGTGAATATTGCAAAAAGTGGATTGATTTGGATGGCGAACAAAGCACGATCGCAGCAAATATTGCCGAACTTATAAAACGTTGGTCATTCCATTCGGAAACGGAGCTAGTGCGAGATGAAATTGCTAAGGAAATTGCAAACTTACGATATCACAAAGAGTGCTATGTTCGTTTTTGTGATAAAACAAAATTCGAAAGAGCCGAGAAAAGAATAATCAAGAAAAAGGCAATGACTGTCGATGCATCCACAAAAGGTGAACCGAGCACTCCTGTTGCTAACCGACCGGCACCTGTACATGTACGTATATCACCACGAACATTGATTAGCGGTAGTGAGGGAATTACCAGAAGAAACAGGCACGTCCTACCAGAACAATGCATAATTTGTAAGAGACAGGAAACGTACAAGGTGGACAAGGTACTGTAAAAATAACCTTATTATTATTATTATTATTATGCTATCCTTTCAAACCACTAATTAATTCGGTACAATTATTTTGTAGGCTACTAGAAAAATAAAAATAGATAAACTGGTTCTGGCGGAACCTTTGACGGAGGTCTTTTAAGGGAGGCTGCACAAAAGAAAAAGGATGAGTCAATTTTAGCACAAATTAGAGGTAAAGATTGTGTTGCCATAGAAGTGCGTTACCACAGGCATTGCCATTTGGATTACTGCAGATTCTTAAACCGAAAATTGACAGTTAGTAAGCCAAATGATGAACTATACCAATCAAGCTACACTGCCTTCTGTTCGAAAACAATTGACGAAAAGCTGCTTAAGAAAAAACAAATAATGAGAATGTGGGTATTACATGAGATCTTTGTTGAACAAGTTATGAAGACTGAAAGGCTTGATGCATCCAATTACCGTCCTACTCGTCTTAAGGCAAGATTACAAAGAGACTATCCACAACTTGTCTTTCACCGTCCTATAGTCAGAAATCGAAGCGAACTTGTCTTTGTTGAAGAGCTATCAGTAGGTGAAGTAGCAGAGACCTGTGGAACAGCAGATACTGAACGAGCAGACTCAGAAGAGAGTGACAGCGACGAGGAAATGATTAGTGAAACTCCAATTGATAAAAAGGAAGTCACCTTGAAAGAGTATTACGATGTTGCTATGGCTTTACAGAATGCTATAAAAAGAGCCCGAGCTATGGATTCATCTTGGCCACCACATCTGTCGATCTCTCCACGACCCAAGTGCTGAAGATGGTCCCAATTGTGCTGTTTAATTTTATTGCTTTAATATTGGGCTTCTCAGATTACCCAAAAATGTCATCTCATCTGAAACTAGAAGATTCCCACATGACGAAAGTTCTATCTATCTGCCAAGACATGTTGTACATAGCTTCAAACGGGAGAAAACAAACACCGAAGTCGCTAGCACTGGGTATGGCTGTAAGGCAGCTCACACGGTTATCACAACTCACGCAAATTTTGAATGGTTTTGACCACTGTGCAAGTCATTCTGCCATCTTAACCTACGAAACAGACTTGGCTAAGTTAGCTATAAAATCAGACTGCTGTATTCCAAAAGATACAGAAAAACATAAATTTACTTGTCTGGTGTATGCCGCCGCCTTCAACATTCTTTTAAGGCAATCTGCAATACCACCACTGTCTCGAATCAGATACTTGCCAATAATTGATGGATCCCCCAGTGACTACTCAACACTGTACACTGCTCTTTTAAAGAGCATCAATATTGCTGATAAGCTGTCTCTAGAGCACATCGTTCTGGTTTTTGATGAAGCAATCTACGCAAAGATTCAGCAGATTAGGTAAAGATTAAAGTCTATGGTGAATGACAGTTTTACCAAGTTTCTCGAATTCCTATTTACTGGCAGCATTAATGCAATACATCTCGCTTTCATGTTTGACATTGTTTGTTTCCCTTTATATCTTAAATTAGATGGAAAGATGAGATTTTTATGAAGAGGTTCGTTGTCAGACTTGGGAATTCCATGCCACCATGTCGTTCCTGAGTGCCATAGGAAACATGTTTAGAGATGCTGGGTTACAGGTATATGTTCTCTTTTATACATTTGTGAGAAATATAACTTTACAGTATTAAGGTAGCTGTATTTTTGTAATAGTGAACTTGCATTATTTAGGACATACTTATCGAATCCGATGTTGTTGGACAAGGGCAAATTAAAGGTGTAATGACTGGAAAGCATTATAATAGAAGTATGCATTGCCACAAAGTAATGAGCGAAGCCCTGCACAGACTTCGATTCCAAGCATTCTTAGATAGTGTTAGTGATGAAGAGTCCGCTAATATCTACTCAGTCGTGTCTGACCTGCTGAATAATTTTCCAAGCGAGGATTTTCAGGAGAAACTTACTGCGGAACCATTCTCGGAAATTCTTGATAAGTATGAGGACTTTGTGGTTCAGGAAAGTGAATGTAACCCGACGTTTTCATTGTGGAGTACCTACCTTGAAATGATCGGTATTCTTCTTCAATTTGTACGGTGAGCTTATTAATTGAATTGCGAAGGTTTGCAACTAAAATATTTTTAGTCCTCAAGCAGCTTTTTTGCTCATAAGTTGCATTAGGGAAATAAAATGTTTTGACTCCTTTAGTGCTACACGAGAAGGAAATTGGGAACTTCATCTATCAACAATGCGTTCAATGCTGACATGGTACATTGGATGTAATCGAGTGAATTATTGCCGTTATGGAACGGCATATTGGCTTGAAATGAAAGACTACAAGAGACACATCCAGGTAATACACGGTTAATGCAGCCATATTTTTCATTTGATACTTAGTCTAGCACTCACAATTGTAGTATCGCAATGAAAAATAGGCTGGTACACTGAGTGGTGTGAAATCATTACATGCTACTGAATTAATTATGTGAATAGGTACTTGTTTGCACCCTTTTTCCCGTTTTTAGCATTATTGAGAGATCTTCGCGATCAATGGACAGTGTAACGCCAACAGAATCATGGGTTTTCCTCTGTCGCATGCGATATGACTATTGAACAAACCTTAAATAGAGATTCAAAAACAAAAGGAGGTAAGAATAAATTCATTTACAGTTCGCCAGTGGTAACTGTACCCACTCTTAAGAGTACATATTCTTAATATTTCAGGAATGGTTGGAATAACGTTAAACAGGGGTGCTATGCAACGATGGATTATTGCTCAATCTGATTAGGTCTGCTATCACAGGAGAGTGTATGAAAATGGCCGGCACTGATCCAACTAAAAGGTATATAATGCAAAATAACTTTTACTATTAACAAGTACATTTAATCACAAAATTTACAGGCATACCAATACCATAACTTCGTACAATAATTGCTTGCTACCTCCGAGCACATAAGTAACAATTTCGTTATTATTTAAACTTAAAATTTATAGAAAAAGAAAGGAATTAGACATGCCACAAAGAACTCGCCATGAGAAAGATGTATTGAGTATAGTAAACACGCTTCAGAACATGGTAAATCCTTTTGAAACTGATACTGAAATAACAGATATGATTCACTTGTCAAGTGGACTAGTAGCTACACCAGATGTAAAGGCAGACTTACTAAGAACACAACAACGAGGAGAAGAATGCGTGACTGCTTTTCTAAAAGACAGGTTGCTAGTTTCAGAGCCTGATATCTTCTCAACGATTCCTAAGCTGAAATTGAAAACCTTTTCGTCAATGGCTAAGAAAGTTAAAGTTAGTTCAGCAAAAGGTGTGGAAGCCACCATTAAGAATAACCGTAACTTGTTCGCTCGAATGCTCTTGCTGGCGCAAAGTAGAAATGTGGACATGAAGGAATTGCTCACTTATTCTTTGGGTCCATTTCCTTTATCTCTTTCAACCGAGATGGGCACATTGCACAAGACCCAGAAAAGCAAACTGATGACGTCAATCGAATCAAGTGTCCAAAATCACACAGTCGCATAGGCGTACCGGGCGGGGGGGGGGCGGTAGCCCCCCCAGTTTTTTGGGCAGTCGGGCAATATTCGATCAACAGTCGGGCAATTTTGGCTTGCAATAAAAAAAAATGGGACAAATTCTGTCAAGTTTGTCTAAAATTAAGTAAATTTTGTCTAAATATTGGAAAATTTTGCGATTTTTCGAAAAATTGTGTTATGTTCCGAAAAAAATTGGTTGTCCGGAAAGTTTTTTTTGGCGACGGGGGGGGAGGTCGCCAAAATAATTTTTCCGGAAAAATTTTTTTGATAATAGTCGGGCAGAATTCGAAAAGTCGGGCAATTTTCTTTCCACCCCCCTAATTTTTTCCTTCCGGTACGCCCATGCACAGTCGACAATGTTCCGGAGGGAAACGCAATCATTCTTGATGGAATGGCACTCATTCAAGCTACAAAGAAGCTACCTTCATCGTTTTGAGAATTTGCAGAGCAATTGTTTTCAAGGGTGATAAAGCTGGCAATTTATCACAAATCTTCACGTGTTGATTTTGTGGTAGACAGATATCCTGATGTGAGCATTAAAAACCTCGAACGGAACATTCGGGCAAGTGGTGGATTAGCAGTAATCAATATATATGGAGCTGACCAGAAACTACCAGCACAATGGGACAAGTTTCTTAAGCATGGTCGAAACAAAGAAGCACTCATTCGGTTTTTGTTTGAACAGTGGTGTACATACACATCGATGATGTTTAGTGGTATTGTGGTCTACGTTTGCCATGACGACAAGTGCCATAGCCTTAAGCCAGGACTTGACAATGCACCTAATATTATTCGAGAAATAGCAACATTATCTTGCGATCACGAAGAAGCCGACACTAGAATGCTACTTCATGCAAATCATGCGTCTCAGTCACATGGAAGTATTGTAATAAAGAGCCCGGATACGGACGTCTTCATTATTATACTTCATTTTTGCCATATTCTCTAATGCGAAATATTTTTTGAGACTGGTGCAAATGAGAAAACTCGGATCATAGACGTCAGATGTGTTGAACAGCAGATTGGTGAGAAAGAAGGCAAAGCATTAATTGGATTTCACGCATATACCGGTAAGCAATAACTAGCTACATTATATTAAAAAATTAGGGTGCCGTTTCGTTAATGATTTAGCTAAAAGTGAGGTAGATGTATAGTAGCCACATGTAGTTTGTAAGAACACAACAGCTTGTGCATCACTGGATCAATTTTAGTTCATTTACCATTTCTAGGGTGTGATTCTACGAACTCATTTTATGGTCGAAGTAAGATATCAACCTGGAAATTAGTTTCAAATGACGAAACAGCTCTCGACACATTTGTGCGTCTTGGTGAGGACTTTGACGTTGATGAATCCATTCGGGAAAACCTCGAGTCACTCACATGCATGCTATATGGGGCTAAGGATACCACATCTGTCAATAAAGCAAGATATGACATGTTTAGGATGGGTAAATTCTCTGATACAGCATTGCCTCCAAATGAGGATTTTCTTGTACAACACATCCAGTGAGCAAATTACCAGGCCGCAATATGGAAAAGAGCAACAACTCCAACAATTGACGCGCCTTTACCAACTGATCATGGATGGAAGATTGGAAATAGGAAATATTGATGTGGTGTGGATGACAAAGAAATGTGCTCCTGATGTACTGCTCAAAGATTGCAACTGCAAATGTAAAACCGGCTGTTCAACCCTAAGATGCTCCTGTAAAAAGGCCAACAACCAGTGTAATGAAATGTGCCAGTGTGTTGGATGCACAAATTGTCCACACGAGTCCAGCGAAAGCGGTAGCCTTAAAGATGATTCAGAAGATGATCTGGGTAGTGATATGGAGGAAGAAAACTTGTAGTATTGTATAGCACAACACCGATGCAACACAGCTGATGAAATTTGTGCTATCCTATTGTAGAAATGCAAAACTTATATAATCAAATAGTGTTTATTATATTTCATTGACATTGTGTTGATATCAGTTCGAGTAAATACGTTTTAGTTTATTTTGTTATTAATTTATTTATTTTCCGTCGAATACCGCTAAGTGTAACAGCTGTATACTAATGACAAATTTAGGTATAAGGTATTTAAATTAATAGTGTACAATATTAAAGTGAAGTATTTGACCAATGTTTGAATGTTTGATACGTTGTGCAACATTTGTCGCGATTTGAGTCTCAAATTAACCGACTTTTCACAATATTTTTAGATTTTATCAGTTGTATTAACTTGTGTGAGATGTTAAGTGACACAATTCGACAGATTTACCTTCAAAATGTATACAAAATTCCCAAGCAAAGACAGTTTTGCTAGCCATATTTATGAATTTGGTTGTTTATGAGCCCACGTTACTTTCAATACTTCAAGTAATAATGTTGAAAGATCAAACATACCGCGGAATTAAAGATGGCTGTTAGCGGATGAAAATATCAAACTTTGGCCTTACATTGTGAAAAAACAGGGGCTTTTGGCGCGTGGGAACAAAGATATTTGAAATCAGCATAGTTTAATCTCCTAATTCCTTTTAAAAATTTTTAGCACCGCGATGGGGGCGACGGAATTTGATTTCTAACCACATTTTGCCCACACAGCTAACGGCCTAAAAGTTACCAAATTGAATCAAGTGCCGTCAAGGATATGTTTAAATTTGTTAAGGCTAATCACTGGCTTTTTCTTTTGCTGTAAATCATTCCAAAGGGATGCAGCTGAATAACTAAAACTCTTTTTCATAAAATTTGTTTTAGGTTTTCCAAGATCATAGTTGTTATTGTTACTTCTTAAATCATATCTGTCATTTATTCTAATTTTGAACATGTTGCAAATTGATGATGGCATTTTTTCGTTTCGTATTCTGTGCATAAAAATTGATTTATTGGTTTTATAACGTTGGTTTAAAGGCTGCCAGTCTAATTCTTTTAAAACATCCTCATAACCAACTTCATAAGTTTTACCAGTGATGATTCGGGCCGCCCTGTTTTGTAATTTCTGAAGTCTGTTTTTTAGGTAATCACAACAGTTATATCCCAAACCAAGCTACAATAGTCAAAGTGTGATAGCACAATGGCATTATATATTTTTACTAAGGTTGAATTGGGAACAAACTGTTTTATTCGTCGCATCATTCCTGTTCCTTTTGAAGCTTTTGTGACAGTATTTTGGATTTGATGATTCCATAAAAGATGTTCATCAATAATTACGCCTAACGTTTTTGATTTGTGAACCCGTTTAATGACTGATTCACCAGTTCAATTTTAGGATCCGTTACTAAGTTTGAAATTCGTTGTCTTGAGCCAATAATCATGTATTCAGTTTTATCTTTGTTAAGTGTAAATTTGTTTGCAAGTAACCATTGGTGTACATTTTCTAAGTCCGCGTTAATGCGTTCTTGTAGTTCGTCATTTGTCTTGCCATTGCTTGAAATATTAATTTTTGTGTCATCGGCAAACATGCTTGCTGAAGATGAGGTCAGGCAATTTGGTAGGTCGTTTATATATAATAAGAACAGAAGTGGCCCAAAATTTAAACTTTGGGGTATTCCACATTTAACTGTTCTTGTTTTGGACATTGTTTGATCTACCTTGCATATTTGAATCCAGCTAGAAAGAAAGGACTGGAACCAAGCAAGCGTATGACCTGTTATTCCATAACAATGCATTTTTTTAACAAAATATTATAGTCAACACAGTCAAACGCTTTCTTGAGATCCAAAAATATCACTCTATTTAACAAACCCCTATCCATATTCATTAGCCATTGGTTTGTGATGTTAAGTAGAGAAGTTTGTGTAGAGTGATTTTTTCTAAATCCTGCTTGTTGTTCTACAAGTATGTGATTAGTTTCAAGACACCCCCCCCCGGTTTTAACAAAAATATTTTTGCTTTTCGAAATTTTTGCTGTAAATTCTCATTTTTTTATATTTTTCAACTTTTGACCATTTGGTCAAAGATTTAAAAGTCATGCACGCTATTTTCGCCCGCGAAAGACAACAAACCAATATAAAAACCCCGAAAAATTTAGGCAAAGGTGATATTTGATACCAGGACAGAGTTAACAGGTACTAATATTTCACATACTATTGATATATTTTTATTGTTAATTTTTAAAAGATAGTGGGAGTAAATGGTATAGAGTATAATTTAATGAAATAACAGGCTCTTCGCATAACGTATAACGTATTATTTCCCCCCGAGTACTGTTTAAAGTTTTGTCGTAAAAAATACAGAAATTTTAATTTGTTTTATTTAATTCAATTAAATAAGTTTCTTCCCTCAAATCAAAGGGGTTTTCTATATGGACTGATGACTGGAATCTGACATGCTTGATTTTATGCAATCGTATGTGCTGAATAAGTGCATATAAAGATGTAAAGGCACGAAACAATGTGCTTCTATCTACATATATTCTTTGTGACTGTTTATATATACTAGATTATGTGTTTATTATAATATGCATAATCTAGGGGTGCCAGAAGCTCAGGACAAAAACACATTTTGCAAGAAACGTCATTTTTGGCCATGTTTCAGCGAATAATTCTTGACTGCTAAGTTCCCGATTGCGACAAGAAATTGTGGTCTTGATTAACGTTTATTAACGTCTACGCCTGCTAGCTTTCTTTTACTTTCCCTCTGCTGCAGTACAAGAAATAGGGTAGCGAAATCTGTGTTTTTGTTATTTTCACAATTTTTGCTGGCAAAAAGAAAGCGTCCGCGATAAATTTGGTCAGCGACGACAATTTTCACACCTGTTATTGGTGCCAGCAAACATGAAAATCCGCCACGTTTTTCGCGACACTTTTTTGACTGACGAGAACTCAGTGGTACGACTGCAAGTACGAGATCAATATTCGTCATTTTTGCGAGAAAATAACATGTAGAAATATTTGTTATAGTCTAACCGTTTATTCCAACGTTTATTCGGCGTTCTTTCTGAAAGTGAAAGCTTAAATTATACCGGAAATTTTGAGCTGCATATTTATCGTGAGCGAGCAGGGGAAATCAAGTGTCAACAAATTAAACATGGCGAAGTTCTAGCTTCAGATTTTTCATACTTCTGTCAAGTTCTGTGGAATATGACTTTGCGGTTTATGTTCTCAAGGAATACTTCGTATCCTTGAATATTTAAAGAATTTTTCTACTAAAAAACTACTTTTCTGCCTTTTTGGAAATATCTCATATCCAAGTTGAAATTGCACCATAAACATCAGGTATCCCACTTCCTGCAGGTCTGTGGCACTGATATTAAAGTTGCAATACCCCTTAATACACCCTGGTTATTTTACTCTAATGCCAGATGATTTTACTTGTCACGGTGAGAGTGCTGGTATTCAATGCTTCATTTCAACTAGAGTTGTCCTAAGTACATTCTGAGCACGTTTCGAGATTTGAGTTATAAAGTTAGTCAAAATTAATTCTAACGCCAACAGCCAATATCAACAGCCAACACAAAGATTTTAAATTAAAAAGATATTTATATGCTCGATAACATCGTGTTGGCTTTCCTGACAGGGGAGGGAGAATTAATCAGGATCAATAATTTATGAAAATTGATTGATTATTGAAACAAAACTTAAAACGTGTATAACACTGTGGTATGTAAGTTCTATTCTTAGAGGTACAAAAGAAGAGAACGCGTAATTTTATTTAACTCTTTTAAATTAAAAAAATATATTTATATGTTCGAACACCCCTGTCACTACGCCCATGCGCAATGTCTTCCTGGACTTTCCGTTTCATGAGTTAATATGACCATTAGGTTGTAGAGGTTATGCGACTTAGGGCATCTTTAGGCGACTTGAGGCAACTTTAGGCGATTATGGTAGACTTAAAGCGATTTTGGTCCCGGAGTATAGGCCTTGATAATGAAGGAGGGGGCGATCGATGCACATGCAAATAATGACACTGAAAAGGAAATGTCTTCGCCTCAAATCGGGAGTACGTCATCCAGAAGTTCAGCTTTAAAAAGCTTCAAGAACACGTTGAATGAATATCAAACAAGCGAACAGACACAAAAACGTCAGAAAATACTCATCAATTAAGGTATTTCAGGATTCATACTTTGTGATATAGATATTATGGCAAACTGTGTTTTCTAGGGCATGTTTTAATTACAACTACTGGGGCTAAGTCTCACTGAGGGCCTTTTCCCCACACAGTTACGCGTACATAAAGGCCATGCTGTGCAGACTTTTATAAGATGGAATGTCGAGAATGCGAGAGGATATCAGAAAGCAGGCAGATGCAGCTTTTTCAACAAGCATGACATTTACTAATGATCAAAAGGGCCCAGCTCATCTGAAAATATTGCTTCACTACTGGGGCAAGCAAAGGGCCTACTGGGGTAAATGCCCCAGTAGTTATATAGTTAAAAAATGTCCTGGTGTTTTCTCTGGTGAAATGCTCAGACTGTAACTGTGTTGAGCACTTGAAGAAGATGATGCAGAGGTGGATCCAGCAGGTTTTACTGGGGGTTGTGCTGGGTGAGCAGCCGAGTGTTTCTTTATAATTCTTTAGGGGGTGGTGGGAGAGCATTCAAATGAATTGGCTTCATTACGACTTGAGCGCTGAAGGCGCAAGCTCCCTAGGGGGTTCAGGGATATGCTCCCCGGAAAATTTTGAAAACCCCAGATTTGATTTAGAACCCTAGAAATGCTATTTCCTGCGATATGGGCATTGAATTATGAGCTTCAGTTTGACTTCAAGAAAGGAAAACCTCGGAAATTGTGCCATATTTCTTTTATCTGAATTTGATTTTTTTGCACCCCTTGCACCCCTGTTGACCAAGGTCAACAGGGGTAAGCATCCCTGTGCACCTCTCCCTATAAATCCACCCCTGAGATGATGTGAACCGCAAGGGTTGTGCCTAAAATCTTCGCTTATTGTATCGAATTAAACTGTAATTGGATGCATCCTTTTTGGACTCCAAAACGAAGAAAGAAAAGCTTGAAGCAAACAGGGAACTTGTTTATAGAATGCGACGAATTGGAAAAGGTCATGCAGGTGCCTCCAAGTTCTGTTCTCTCATAAACATGCCATTACCACTGTCAGCAAAATCTTTCATGAAAACCTCATATGTGATTGCTCAGCATGTCATTAATGTCAAAGATGTTTCAAAGGCAACTATGAAACTAGCAGCAGAAGAAGTATGTGCCATGAAAAAGAATGCAGATTCCATGAAACTGACGAAACCATTCCTGTCGATTGTGGTGTTTCGTGTAATGACACTTGGCAAAGAAGAGGTCATTCATCACTTAATGGATGTGTGACATTAATTTAAATTGTACAGGAAAAGTTCTTGATGCCGAAGCACTTAGCACCTGACCCATGCACTGTAAAGAATGCATGATTTATTATGAAAAGCTTGATAAAAATAGCGAAGAATACATAAGCTGATCACAGTAATTGCAAGGCGAATTTCTATAGCCTGCTTGCCGGCCATGGAACCTGGGGGAGCTGCTCGTATGTTTACTAGATCTGTGTCCGAGTATATAATCTGCGGTAAACAGAAATTTACGGCGATGGTGACAGTAAGAGTTTCTGTGAAACGTATTGGTCATGTGCAAAAAAGAGTTGAAACAGTTCTTCGCAAAATGAATAAAGATAACCCTGACTGGGAGGTAAAGTTAAACTGACAAATGCCATGACAGATATATCGATAAATTACAAAATTGTTATGGCAATGCTATCAGGTCAAACGTTGGAGATTTGGATGGTATGACTAAAGCTATCCATGCATGCCAGTCTCTTTCATTGTGTATCTAGTGATGCTATCCCGCAACGAATTCCAAAGGAGGTATACACAGACAGGACACCCTGGAATTTGGAGTCTATGATGCAGTGTCACATTTTAATATTGGTAGTGGTGTTGTTATCGAGGTTTTTATTCAATGAATATTATTACTGGCAAGCACACTGAAATTGCCTGTCAAGCTGAAGTGAAGACAAGTCTCGTGTTTCCCTTGTCGAATATAAAAGTACACCCAAGGCTAAAACGAGAAGAAAGGTTATACATGCAATTACTGAATTACAGGGACTGAAAAAACAAAAGGATGACAAGAAACAACAAAGGCGAAGGACTCAAATCTGGAGCTGGAGAATTTTAGAGGTTCTAAGTGACAAACATTGTTATGATGTAAAGGCACGTTTACACATGCAATTTTCACTGCGATATCTACGGCGATATTTTGAAATCTCCAATGTAAACACCCTGCGATTTTGACTGCAATTTTGGTGCGACAACAATGCAATTTGCAGCGAATTTCAATACTTCATTCGAGTTTACAATTACTAAGCAGCACAAAGATTTTGTTCTGATTAGGTTGTTTGTGGCTGTTTTCTTACTGAAGTGATTGGCTTGTTCAATCTAAGGTTAGTACAAAGACCATAGCGGACACGCTAAAAGTATTCTACAGTACTTCGTTTTTATGTTGTTATTGCGCATTTTCTCTTATGA